GCCTTGTGTGTAGCTGGTATCCAACTTCAGGACATGAGATACCCACTAACAGCGCATTGGTATCCAACTTCGGGACATGAGATGTCCATTAACAGCGCACGCGCTGTACGAAAATGCCTAACCCATGTAAAATGTGTACGAGTTGTCTGTAACATGGGTAGCTGATGCCCATAATCTGAGCCGCTACTATACGTAGTCTGTAGAAACGCCGCTGCACAGTAAAAAATACAGCGCTTACCCAAAATTTTTTCCCGTGTACGCGCACTTCTGCTGCGCACTGGGCCTTACCGCACTACCCACAACGCCCGCGCGGTAACTCGCGAACGCTTTGTCCCTCGCGGTTCTCCATACGATTTTTGAAATTTCTGGTTTGTACTAAGGGTGGTAATATTGGAAATATACATATAAAGGAAAAAAGTGGGTGGGAGGGGGTGGTTAACTAAGAGCAATGTATTTTACATAGGTAACAGGTGAGTGGGTGGTGGGAGGAGGTGGTTGCAAAGAAAAAAACGTATGCAAAATATGTTGAATCTAAAAAGAGGGGGGAGTGGGTGGTGTTTGCATATTCCACGTCTAAAAGGGTGGAATTTGCATAAAACTTAAAGAGGGAGAGTGAAAAGTATTTGCATATTTAAATTTGCATATTTTAATTTGCATATTCCGCATCCAAAAGGGTGGATTGTGGGTGAAATTTGCATAAACTAAAAGGGGTAACAATGTAAATTAAATAATAAACAATAGAAAACGTATGCAAATTAAAAGGGTTAACTAATTTAAATATATGCAAATCAGGTACCCCACCAACGCTCGGTAACTTATCCACATATTTAAATATATGCAAATTAAAAGGGTTAACTAATTTACATACATGCAAATTAGGATATTTAAATATATGCAAATTAAAAGGGTTAACTAATTTACATATGTGCAAATTAGGTACCCCACCAACGCTCGATAACTTAACCACACGGAGAGAAGAGTTATAGTGGGTTGTACTATTACGCGTTTAGTAAGAAAATTTGAGTTGCGATAAATGAATATAAGGTAAAGGTTACAAAACAGCGTTCAATTTTTTTGTTGTCGATCGAACTAAACATAGTAGTAAAGATGAATGTCTGCTTAGTAAAGCAGACAAAACTGATTCTATTCTAGATTTTTTAATCAGATTATTAATTTAGATAAAAAATATATTAAAATTTTTAATTAATTAAAAAACTTTTTAAAAAAATCAAACGAAATCTTGATAAAATGTCAGTTTTCAAAACATTTATATTTGCTATGATACTTATTATTTATACTTATTATTACAATAACTATTAAATTAGGTTATTGTTATTATAATTATAAAAATTAATTTTAAACTGTTTATTTAATTATGCCACAAATATAAAAAAAATCTTTTATAATTTTCTTCATTAAACTAAACAATTATAACAAAATTATAGTTTTTAAATTAATTTAGTATTTTAACCTTATATCGCCGTCAGTTCTTTTTTGTAAAATATTTCTTGATTTTCATTGCGATCACCATAAAACAAAAATTCTCGGGAAATAATTAATATTTAGTTATTTAATTAATACCATATTTGACAAAATTATTTTTAGCAAGTGTTAATAACTCTCATATTTATTAAAAAAGAGGTTAATTTTTATTTTTTTATATTGTTAACTGAAACGTGAATATGACAGTTCATATCGTAGACGTTACTTATCAAATTGGTAGTCTTGGTAACTAAACTACTGTTTAGTGAAGCTTACTTTTTGTTTTGTTGAACGAAAATGTCACCATATTGTTTAGTAACTATGACTCAGGGCTGAGTAAGATTAACTACTTTCTTCTCTCCGTGCACATATACCCCACCAACGGCCGATAACTTATCCTATCGGTCGGTAATGCAGATTCCTACTTACCGACTGAAATCCCGTAGAACCAGCCTAGCTACACTACTCTCGCACGCAGGAAACTTTATCTCTTTCTATCTCAGAGATAAAAAAATATTCAAAGAGATAGGATTTCTATCCCTTTACTTCCAGCAGGGTTGTTCTCTTTCTAATCATGTGTAAAAATGGTTAATTAATATTATTCTTTAATAACCATGTAAAATTTTTACAAAAATACAATTTCGAGGATTTGCATAAAGTATTTAAAAGTAATCAAAATATATACATTTCTAACCTCAAATTAATAAGATCTGGCGTATGAGCAAATGTATAAACATAATTTTTTTCTAATTTAGATAGCAGCGTGGATGAATATCAATTCTATTTATTAGATAGAGCACGAATTTTATTAATTTTAAGAGTGTAGAAGAAGCTAACATGTGAACACGCGGTCCGGTGTGCATAAAGCCGTCCCTGCTTTCTCTCCCTTTCGGTCGCAACACGGCTTCACATTCTTAATGATAAATCGATGATGGATTAACCTTTTTTAATTTCCGAAGGCTGAAATTCTAACGAAAATTTCTGTGTTATTAAAAAATTTTATCTAAATTTTTCTAGATTTTTGAAAAAGTTGAAGTTAATTGGAAAACCAGACAGATTTCGGACTAATCCGAAATTTGTCCGAAACAATGCGGTTTATGGTCACGTTTTTGTCACCCGAAATTAATCCGGGAAAATCCGAACTCTATACGGTTTGTGAACAACTAGTGAATCCTTATCCGGAGTTGGTCCGATGAAGTCCAAAATTAATCAGTTAATTTTAACTAGTGAATCCGGAATTAGTCCGAAACAACAGTCAAAAATTAGTCCAGCCAATTTAGTGAATGTTAATAAAAAATAATTATACAAGTTACACATATTAATTATTAATTAAGGAAGATTTCGACTATATCAGCAATTAGTGACATCTATTAGACGTCAATTGAACTCTTTGGTTTAGAGTCAGGTGTTATTCTAAACCAAAGAGTTCAATTGACGTCTAATAGATGTCACTAATTGCTGATATAGTCGAAATCTTCCTTAATTAAAATTCTTCATCAGCAAATAATTTCCTACATTAACATATTAATTATTATTACATTATGGTACATTCAACATATTTTTCGATTTACCTTATCGCAATTCTATTTACATTAATTTAAAATTTCTAACGCTTAAGGATTCGAACATACACCTATCTAACATTATATCGGACCGAAATCGAATACACTAACCACTATACCACGCTCGCATGGGAGTTCAAATTCATAGTAGAATTTACGAAGTGCCACGAAAAGAAATAACAAGAAACTAACACATCAGTGTTAATTTTAATATTGAAACAAGATAACTAATAATACTAGTAAATTTGTAAAAACAAATTGACTGCAGAATTAAATATTTTATTTACCATTAGTAAATACCCTGAATAAAAAGTGGGATTGATTACCCTGTAAAAAAAAAGTATTGGGAGGTACGGGATTCCGTATTGTAAGTGCCAACCTGCCAATGCGGTATTCGCGAATTACCGCATTGGGTGTACGGAAATCGGAAATCAAGGGGTCCCAATGCGGTGCCAGTTTTAAGCTTTAAAAAACGAAAATACGTGACAGGAGGAAAAGTGTCAGTGGAGAAATATGCGAGTTAAAGGAATGAGAAAACAATAATAGTGAGTGTAAAAATGAAATTTCAAGAAAAAAAGGTAAGTTGAACTGTCAAATATGGGCCCAATGCGGCATAGGCTGATTTCAATGCGCCACAGCAAAAGCAACTTTGACTGGTTTGAATGGCGTGAAATAGGTAAACAAACATTTTCTAACACATTTGTCTCCGTACACAGACACTTTTCACTAAATCTGCCAACGTACAATTGGTAAGCATCTTCTAAATTACAATAATCGAAAATATTGTTTAGATTCATGCAGAAACGTGGTTATAAAATAAAAAATTGGAAAGTAATGTAATGCAAATCATATGTCAGCTGGGCCACTGTGTTCGCTCGATTTGCTCTGCTTGCTTCTGCCCTCTACTGGCGACTTGCACTATGTACCGATTGTGTACCGCATTGAAAGCAGCCTACGCCGCATTGGACTCATATTTGACAGTTCAACTTACCTTTTTTCTTAAAATTTCATTTTTACACTCACTATTATTATTTTCTCATTCCTTTAACTCGCATATTTCTCCACTGACACTAATTATTTCCTCCTGTCACGTATTTTCGTTTTTTTTAAAGCTTAAAACTTGCACCGCATTGGGACCCCTTGATTTCCGTCTCACTCTACAACTCAAGAAATAGTTAACGAAATGACTTCAAAGACGGCTTATTTTACGCAGAATTTAATCAGCTTTCTAACCGTATTTAAGTTTTTTTTGTATCTCCTTTTATTTCCGAGATATGATTGAAAAAGTGATGATATGTTTTTTTATAGAATCGCGTGCAATCGTCCTGATACTCGTGGACGGTAGTGTATTATTTCTTTAAATGAACCAGAAAATATGTTTCAATTAAATTTAAATATGGTTGATTAAAACAAAATTTGTTTTAATCAAATAAATCGTTTTCTCAGTGAATTGTATTCCAGCAGCTGACAAATAAATTTTACGTTGATACTTTCAAATTTATCCGCAAGTATTCGCTAGTGAATACACTGAAACAACTTGATCTCAAATTGAGTAAGAATCTGAGTTAATTTGATACTTATCAAAAATGAGTATGCAGATGACGCAACGTTTCACATACTCATTTTTAGATGTAACAAATATGAGTACAAGTTTTTTCTGTGTAGACTTCTAATTCTCTTATGATTGCAAGAAACTTGGCACACCTTTTGCCAAAAATCTTCTGTAAATTGTAAACTCTTTATACTAGTCCATAATCGTGATTCTGGCGATATCATCAATATCACTCCATCATTTTTAAAAAAAATATTTATCTGTAATGGCGAAACATTTCTTATTGTCGGTTGTACTAAAATAGCTAAACATGTTACAAATATGAATTTGTGAATCTATAAGTAAGTCATTCAATTTCTGTCATACCTTATCGTAAATGCTTTAATTAACTAAAACATGTTTACCAATAAAGGTCCTGGAATGTCGTTCTTACATACTTCGTTCAGAGGTACACCAAATTTTACTCTGTAAATAAACACAAAACATGATGAAACGTAATTTAATAATGTATTTACAGTCTTACATAGCTGATAAGCCTTCACTTTTCTATACGTGTCGTATTTTGCCCAATAACGGAAAAACTGCGGTAAGTGCCATTGTCGCTTTGGTTGATTTCTGTTTCTTTACACTGCACAAAAACTGAAACTTTAGCGACAAAGTCATATTGAGATTTTAAATTATAGGGAAATATTTTAGTATATAAGTAACATAAAAGTGTTGACATATCAGCTTATGGCTAATAAATAATGTAATTAAAAAGTATTATATTGTTAAAATATATTAAAATTAGCGAATTTAAAAAAAATCAAATATACAATGCGGAAATTTTATTTAAATGGAAAAACCTAGTCTCAAAATGAGTATCGTACGCTACACATTTTGAGCTGCAACAGAAATATGACTCTTAGGTAGCGCCACGTTTTATGGCGTTTAACATTGTCTCATTTTGAGATGCTACAAAAATTAGACTGGGTATTGTGTTGCGACTTAACAAATTAACCTTTTTTAATTTACTACCCGTCATTTTAAAGCTATTTCTAAACTCTACAACTTTCAATCACACCTTATTTCCTTAAAGTGTGAAAAGAAGCAACGTTCACCGAAAAAACAATATTTTTTAAATTTTAACGATTGTTTATAACATGTTCCGCAACTTCAAATCGAGAGAAAATAATGAGGCTTTTATATGGAGCCCCAAACTATCAGAAACTGATGAGATATTGCTGCTTTCAATTTATTTCACTGCTTCACCTGGTTTCACCAACCATCGTTTTAATGAAGAATTATGTCACTATTGTTTATGTAATTTTGTTTTAAATCAGAAGGAGTTACCAAAGGATAATCCCCAGGGAATCGTTGACAGAGCCTTCGGAAATCTCTCTCATTTTACTCCTCAGACATTATTCACTAAATTAACGTCTGCTTTTGGCCCTGATTCAGAGATTTTAAAAATTTTAAACAAATTCTTCAAATTATCTGTTGTGAAAGAGCTGAAACTATCGGAAACAGATAAGAACGTTTACTCAAGGAATTGCCTAATAAGAATATTCAAGGAGACCTTCGTACTGTTCCTCCCAGCGGAGAATATTTGTTCGATAAAAGTAATCTACAGTCGTTAGTTCAGTCTTTAGGAGGATCTCAGACGTGGCTAACCCTTCTTATCTGTCAAATGAAGAAAAATAAATGACAATCGATTGACGCAGCCCAAGTCATTCCAGTCATTTTAAAATTTCTGAAAGGAGTCAGAATTCCTCTGCCTTTGAAACGTCATAAACAATTGTCGACAGTCCAAATTGAAGACGCGTCCCTCGCCGGAGATGTCAACTCAGATCAACCTTTTAAAGAGTCAGAAGGTTCTCGAACGACCACTTACACCGAACGCAAGCTTCATCTCATCGATGTTTTTAATCAACAAAGCAGTGGAAGAGTGAGACCCATATTCGACCTAAGCGGACTCAACAGGCATGTGAAGGTAAGGAAATTTCAACTTATCTTTTACTTCAAAATTCCACAATTTTTTCAGAAAGAAAATTGGTTCGCTTAAAAATTTCTTTAGCTTACCTTCATGTACCGATCGCACTCTCACATCGACCTCTAGCTGCTCCTCAAATCTTTGCGACCATCACGAATTGGATTGCGGAAATCCTTCGTGCGCGAGGAATGAGGGTAGTGGTCTACTTAGACGATTTCTTCATTGCCTCTCAGAGCAAGATCAAATTGACCCAACAGATAAAATCAGCGATCGACCTTCTGGATTATTTGGGTTGGAAGGCCAACGATCATAAGAGTATCACGGTTTCTTGTTAAGAGATGGAATTTTTGGGTGTCTCGTGAAACACCAAACTCAATCAAATGATCATAAACTCGAGCTGTACCCTAAACTAGCTTCAGTATCTTCTGGGACACTTAAATTTTGCAAGTTTCGTCGTCTTCAGAAGTGGTCTTCACTACCTCCAAAGATTTTTCAAGACCATTCGCCAGAACAGACATCGACAGAGGAAATCGATCCCTTCTGTAGTGAGAAAATGGTGGCGCGAAGCAACAGCTTTCACTTCTCCTCTTCACAAGAGCGAAGTCACCCACTTACTGTCGATAGACGCATCAGATTTCGGATGGAAAGGCAAATTTAGTGGCATCCATATTTCGGGATCTTGGACAGAAGAACAACGCAATTGGCACTCGAACAGGAAAGAAATGTTTGCCTTATTCAAATCCTTGTTACACCTATCCCAGGAACTTCAAGGAGCTCACGTTTTAGTGCAAACACAACAGGACATTAGTAGCTTATCTACAGAAGGAGAGAGACACCAAATCCTTGGAACTATTCAGCCAAATACACATTCCAAATACTCGAATTAATCGACAGCAAACCATCAAAGAATTTATCCTCTTTCGAAATATCTAGAAGAACAGCAGCTCTATTACTCCTTGCATCCAGTCGACGGATAATAATTTAACATAATTTAACACTCCTTAAAATTTCCAAGGATTTCATCACAAATTTGGGAGATCAAATTATATTATGGCCAGCATTCGGATCAAAAACAGATCGTCATAAGCTTCGACATCTGTACTGCGAGATGCCGGAATTGATGCTTTCCCAGGCAGCATCAGGTCAGCGGTTGCTTCCAGAAGATGGCTCCCAGTTCAAGAGATTTTGAATAGAGGAAACTGGAAATCATTTGGGACTTTCAGAAGGCATTATTGCAAACAAATTACAGACCGGGTATCTTATTCTAATTCTATTTTATTTAACAACTTTTCAGCTACGTAAGTGATTGTTTATTTTCACTATTTTACATAACATTACATTTCGATTGTAGGACACATTTCCCAATCCATTATTCCCACTCCAACCTTCTCGACGGACATATTTCCCGCAACCAATAATTCCCAAAGAAAGATTTTTCCAATATGCTTCCAATACCCAATGCTAGAATTTTTCCCAATATGGGGCAAAATTCCTCAACTGTCAGGGTCAAAAAAATGGATTTTCTCGAAACTTTGTCAAAATGTTACTATTATTAGCAGAAGTGTAAATATGAATTATTATTGCTTTTGATAAAATATTTTTGGAGGTGCGGAGTTTCAAAATTTTGACTTTTGAAAATATCTTTTTTCGATCCCATTAACGCCCACCAGGACGCAAAATGTACCATGATTTCACGATTCTTATTTTGTATGAAATAATTAGTTTAAAATTTTAAAAAATTTTCAAAATTATAGTTCCTCTGCTTATTATTGTTTACAATATTAGATATACAATACTTTAATTTTTTTAGTTATTCTTTTTTATCAAATGATTTTAATATATTTTTTAATTGTTTATTTTAATTCTACTAATTACCGATAAATGTTGCTAGTATTGTTTTAATATTTGTGTACGGAACCCGCCATTGCAGTGCGAGTACAACTCGCACTTGTCCAATTTTTTTTTATTTTTAGTTAAGAAATTAAAGTCAGAAAACAATCTCTCATTTATTCTCTTAAAATTTCACTCTTCCTTAAAATATTTAATGCCACGTGTTTAAACTAAAAAAAATTAAAAAAATTTTTTTTTTTGAAAAAAAAATTTAAAAAAAATTTTTTTTTAAAAAGTTTCTTAAATAAATTTTTTGTCGTCAGACTGTAATAATACACCAGGATACTAATTTCTAGCTCATTAGGTCAAATAATGTAAAAGTTAGGGAAAACAAATTTTTTTTTTAATTTTTTAGTTTTGCCTTGACAACGCTATGGCCATCATTACATATCAAGTTCTCTATATTTTTCCTGTAATATTCGAGTAAAAATACACCAGCATGCAAAATTTCAGCTCTCCATGTCGAATAGTTTCGAAGTTAAGGGGGGGGGGGGAATGGTCACTTTTTATGCATTTTTGGCCAAAAATCTTGTTCTTTCCTTGACAACGATATGCCCATCACGTCCAATCACATTCGCTATATTTTTCCTGTAATCTACGAGTGAAAATACATATCTGGACCAAATTTGAGCTCTTTAGGTCAAATAGTTTAGCCGCTAGGGGGGGGGACACGATTTGGCTACGGACAACAGAGTCTCACCAATAGGGTTCCGCCGATACACCGTAGGTGTACGGAACCCTAAAAACACACTTTTTTACGAAAAAAAATTTTTTCAATTATTATTTTGACATTAAAAACTGAATATGGTCTCCAAAGCACAAAATATCGCATCCTCGAACTCTCAGCTATAAAAATCCATAATTACTATTTTTAAAATTCAAGATGGTGGATACGAAAATGGCCATTTTTCCAAAATGCAAAAGGCCGAAAAAAAATTTCGGGTAATTTTTTCAAAAGTTATTAGATTTGCTTGAAAATGGTTACTCAGGGATTTTTGGGGTCGCTGATTACGAATCTGATGTTACTTTTATAAAATTCAAAATGGCGGATCCAATATGGCAGACATATTTTTTTAAAAAACTGATTGAATCTGCTTGAAAATAGTTACTCGGGGGTTTTTGGGGTCGCTGATTACGAATCTTATGTTACTTTTATAAAAATCAAAATGGCGGATCCAATATGGCAGACATATTTTTTAAAAGTGATTGGATTTGCTTGAAAATAGTTACTCGGGGGTTTTTGGGGATCCTGATTACGAATCTGATGTTACTTTTTTAAAATTTTAAATGGCGGATCTAATATGGCGGCCAATTTTTTAAAAAATAATTGTTTTTGCTTCAAAATGGTCATTCGGCGGTTTTTGAGGATGCTAATTACGAATCTGACTTCAGAACAATATTATGTTTATCCTCCACGTCCGTTAGCCGTCAACAAAATCTTATTGACGTTGCCCAGCTCTTACGACAAGGAGGTCGACGTGCAAAAAGCTACTTTTTTATTTTATTTAAAAAAATTTTTTTGTTTTTTTTTTATTTAAAAATTTTTTTTTGAATATTTTTTAAAATAAATAATATAAAATTTTAATTCTCCTTTCTAAATCTG